AATACCGCATTTAGAAACTGATGAACTCAGTGTGCATCTGGACCCGGTGACAACATTACCTATTGACGCAGCAACCACTGTAAGTTATATTCTTGTTTAATTAGACTTCTCGGTTTCATTTATTCGACTCTGTATAATTGTTACTGTAGCTAAAACGGCTAAATCGCTTTTGAGAGATTTTAAATCTCAGATCTGCTCAGGCGAAACCTGCTTTACAGCTCTCAGCACTCAAGCCTGCATTATTAACATAGGCAGGGCCAGTCTATTGATTGCGTGAAGTAGAACTGCGTGACTCAGTCATCCTTTAGCTCAAAAAGCATTTAAATACCGCATTTAGAAACGGATGAACTCAGTGTGCATCTGGACCCGGTGACAACATTACCTATTGACGCAGCAACCACTGTAAGTTATATTCTTGTTTAATTAGACTTCTCGGTTTCATTTATTCGACTCTGTATAATTGTTACTGTAGCTAAAACGGCTAAATCGCTTTTGAGAGATTTTAAATCTCAGATCTGCTCAGGCGAAACCTGCTTTACAGCTCTCAGCACTCAATCCTGCATTATTAACATAGGCAGGGCCAGTCTATTGATTGCGTGAAGTAGAACTGCGTGACTCAGTCATCCTTTAGCTCAAAAAGCATTTAAATACCGCATTTAGAAACTGATGAACTCAGTGTGCATCTGGACCCGGTGACAACATTACCTATTGACGCAGCAACCACTGTAAGTTATATTCTTGTTTAATTAGACTTCTCGGTTTCATTTATTCGACTCTGTATAATTGTTACTGTAGCTAAAACGGCTAAATCGCTTTTGAGAGATTTTAAATCTCAGATCTGCTCAGGCGAAACCTGCTTTACAGCTCTCAGCACTCAAGCCTGCATTATTAACATAGGCAGGGCCAGTCTATTGATTGCGTGAAGTAGAACTGCGTGACTCAGTCATCCTTTAGCTCAAAAAGCATTTAAATACCGCATTTAGAAACTGATGAACTCAGTGTGCATTCTGGACCCGGTGACAACATTACCTATTGACGCAGCAACCACTGTAAGTTATATTCTTGTTTAATTAGACTTCTCGGTTTCATTTATTCGACTCTGTATAATTGTTACTGTAGCTAAAACGGCTAAATCGCTTTTGAGAGATTTTAAATCTCAGATCTGCTCAGGCGAAACCTGCTTTACAGCTCTCAGCACTCAAGCCTGCATTATTAACATAGGCAGGGCCAGTCTATTGATTGCGTGAAGTAGAACTGCGTGACTCAGTCATCCTTTAGCTCAAAAAGCATTTAAATACCGCATTTAGAAACTGATGAACTCAGTGTGCATCTGGACCCGGGTGACAACATTACCTATTGACGCAGCAACCACTGTAAGTTATATTCTTGTTTAATTAGACTTCTCGGTTTCATTTATTCGACTCTGTATAATTGTTACTGTAGCTTAAACGGCTAAATCGCTTTTGAGAGATTTTAAATCTCAGATCTGCTCAGGCGAAACCTGCTTTACAGCTCTCAGCACTCAAGCCTGCATTATTAACATAGGCAGGGCCAGTCTATTGTCGCCCATCAGCTGTAGATAGTTAACTAATTAACTTCAGCTGTGAGAACTGAGCAATCAGGCGTCCATTTCGGGTAGCTCTTTCCTGGAGCGTCAGCTTCAGCGGCAGACAGGCTAAGACTGACAAAGACATTAGAGTCCTACAGGAGTCAAAGACTGACGAAGACATTAGAGTCCTACAGGAGTCACGAGGGAGGCAAAGAGGAGGCAAATCCTACTTTGATTGAGCTAAGTATCGTTGGTGTTTTTAATTTTTAATTTTGTTGTTTAGCCCCTCATGCTATAATCATGTGTATTTTCTCCATTCCTGTTCATGTGTCTTCTCGCAATTATCACTGGCCCCGTGTATCTCGTAATCGATATAACCGGCCTGCTCTCGTCTATCCCACGTGCTCCACTGAGATCCAACATCTAGTTTCAGGTGGCCTGTGGAACTGCCAGTCAGCTGTTCCTAAGGCTGACTTCATCTCTGGCTACACCTCCCTGCAGTCTCTGGATTTCCTTGCTCTCACTGAGACCTGGATTACTCCATCCAACACATCCACCCCAGCAGCTCTCTCCACTGCATATTCCTTCTCCCATACACCCAGACCCACTGGCAGAGGAGGTGGCACTGGTCTCCTGCTCTCTCCCAAATGGAGCTTTTCCCTCTTCAAGCTACCTAACTTTACTCCTTCCACCTTTGAGTTCCATGCCGTCACAGTAAACCCATCCTATACAGTTAACCATTGTTGTTCTCTACCGTCCACCAGGCGCCTTGGGGGACTTCTTGGAGGAATTAGATCATCTCCTCTCACACATCCCTGAAACTGGCCCTCCCGCTGTACTTCTCGGAGACTTCAACCTCCAGATGGGGAAGATAGACGAACTAACATCTCTGTTAACCGCCTTTGCTTTCTCACTCTCTCCATCCCCACCGACTCATAAAGCTGGCAATGTCCTTGATCTCATATTCTCAAGGAACTGCGCTACTTCTAACCTCTCTGTAAACCCGCTCCACACATCCGATCACTTCTTCATTTCATTCTCTCTATCCCTTTCCAAACATAACAAACTAATCTCTTCCCATCCTACACTTGTCCGCCGTAACCTTCGCTCCCTCTCTCCCTCTACCTTTGCCTCGTCGGTGCTCTCAGCCCTCCCTTCCTCTGATTCGTTCCAACTACTGCCTCCAAACTCTGCTGCAGAAACTCTCCTCTCTACTCTCTTATCCACTCTGGACTCGCTCTGTCCTCTGACATCTCGGCAGGCTCGTCAGTCCCCTCCGGCTCCCTGGCTAAATGATGCACTGCGTGCTAATAGAACCGTCCTTAGGGCAGCAGAGCGGAAATGGTGGAAATCCAAACACCGTGACGACCTCCTAACCTATCAAGCTCTCCTCTCCTCTTTCTCTGCTTCGATCTCTCAGGCAAAAAGCACTTTCTTTCAAGATAAGATCCAATCTTCCTATTCCAATCCTAAAAAACTATTTTCCATCTTCTCCACCCTCTTGGACCCTCCAAAAGCTCCTCCCCCCTCCTCACTTCTGTCAAGCGACTTTGTTACCCACTTTGAAAAAAAGGTTGATGATATTCGCTCTTCTTTTTCTGACTCACCTATACTCACCGCTGGGTCACCAGACCTTCCTTCCACCAACACACTAACCTCCTTTTCCCCTCTCTCTCCAAGTGAGGTTCTTACCCTCATTACCTCTGCCCGCCCTACCACCTGTCCTCTGGACCCTATCCCTTCAAACCTCCTTCAGACTATCGCTCCTGATATTCTACCGTTTCTCACCCATTTCATCAACACTTCTCTAACTTCTGGTCACTTTCCAAACAGTCTCAAGGAGGCAAGAGTAAACCCTCTCCTAAAGAAACCCACTCTCAACCCGTCTGATGTTATAAACTACAGGCCTGTCTCTCTCCTCCCGTTCCTGTCTAAATCACTTGAACGCGCTGTCTTTAAACAACTCTCCTGTTATCTCCATGAGAACAACCTTCTGGATCCGCACCAGTCTGGTTTCAAGGCAGGTCACTCCACAGAAACTGCTCTCATTGCTGTCACGGAGGAACTGCACACTGCCAAAACTGCATCCCTCTCCTCTGTCATCATCCTGTTGGACCTGTCTGCTGCATTCGACACGGTGAATCATCAGATCCTCCTTCGCACTCTCCAAAAACTTGGAGTTTCTGGCTCTGCACTTTCCCTCCTCACCTCATACCTCAAAGACCGCACCTACAGGGTAACTTGGACTTGGTCTACATGCTACCACTGGCTCAGATAATGAAAAACAACAAAACAAGTTACCATAGCTATGCAGATGACACACAAATGTACGTAACAATTTCACCAGGAGACTATGCTCCAATTCAAACACTGAGTAAGTGCATTGAACAAATCAATGACTAGATGTGTCAGAACTTTCTCCAATTAAACAAAGATAAAACTGAGGTCATGGTTTTTGGAGCCATGGCAGAATGTATAAAAGTTAGCGCTGAGCTTCAGTCTGCAATGTTCAAAACAACAGATAAAGCCAGAAATCTAGGTGTAGTCATGGACTCTGACCTGAGTTTCAACAGTCACATTAAAACTGTTACTAAATCAGCCTACTATCACCTAAAGAATATATCTAGGATTAAAAGACTAATGTCACAGCAGGATTTGGAAAAACTTGTCCATGCTTTTATCTTCAGTAGACTCGACTACTGCAATGGTGTCTTCACAGGTCTCACTAAAAAATCTATTAGGAAGCTGCAGCTAATTCAGAACGCTGCTGCTCGAGTCCTCACTAACACTAAGAAAGTGGATCACATCACTCCAGTTCTGAAGTCTTTACACTGGCTTCCTGTGTGTCAAAGAATAGATTTCAAAATACTGCTGCTGGTTTATAAAGCACTGAATGGTTTAGGCCCATAATACATTTCTGACCTCCTGCTAAATTATGAACCATCCAGATCTCTCAGGTCTTCAGGGACTGGTCAACTTTCTGTCCCCAGAGTCAGAACTAAACATGGTAAAGCAGCGTTCAGTTATTATGCTCCAAATATCTGGAACAAACTCCCAGAAACCTGCAGGTCCGCTGCAACTCTTATTACTTTTAAATCCAGGCTGAAGACTTTTCTTTTTGTCGCTGCTTTTAATTGAACTATTCATATCTTAGACTGCACTGTAACTTTTATCCATGTATTTTTTCTTGTAATGTTTAACTGAACTATTCATATCTTAGACTGCACTGTAACTTTTATCCATGTATTTTTTCTTTTAATGTTTCTTTTATTAGCTTTTCTTTTTAATGACTGATTTTAAATGCCATTTTCTTAATGTCTTTCATTTTTTGTAAAGCACTTTGAATTGCTTGAATTGATGTAGACTTTGGTTTTATTTGCACTATTGTTGTTTAGTCAGGCAGTAATATGACAGCAGATAGGACCCTGTCAGTGGCATCCAATATTTACCCACACACAGTTGACCCTCAGGGTCCTGTGTATCTTGTTATCTTCCAACGTTCATTTAGGCCTTTCAGTAGTCACTTATAAACCCAACAAACGTTAGAATGGTCATATATTTTACTTACGGGTTGCTGTTTGCATACTTTTTATTGCCTGGAATCTTACTTGGGGATTTAGCTTTCCGATGTCCGAGTTGTACTGCGGAGCAACTAGCTTCATGTCCCGAAGTCACAGCTGCATGCACAGAGATAGTGAGGGAGCCGGGCTGTGGCTGCTGTCCAGTGTGTGCCAAGCTGGAGGGGGACCTCTGCGGGGTCTATACCACAAGATGCTCCACTTGGCTGAGGTGCTATCCCAGCGCAGACTCTGAAACACCTTTGGAACACCTCATTGACGGTTTAGGACAATGTGGACAAAAAGTAGACATGGATGAAACAAGTCTGTACCACCAGGCTAAAAATGGTACGTATTTATTTTGTTTTAAGTTGTAAAAACTGCAGTACTCAATAATTGTTACATTAACAATGGATTAAATAATTTAGCACAAACTTCTATTTTGACTCTACAGCTCCAGTCTACAGCATTTTAGCCTGTTTCAGTTCATTTACAGTAGTTTACACAGCCTCCCTAACTGTTTTGGTTAAGTCTCAGATCCAACCACTGAATGCTATCATCAAAGCTAACGAGTAAAACGTTCTCATAGTTCTTGAAAGTAGTGATTGTGTTTGCAACATAATAACTACTTGTTCTAAGAACACTTTTTTGAGGGACTATTTTTAAGCTTTCAATTCAGAATACTCTTCCAGTTGATTCCAAATTGATTTAAGTATACAGTGATTTGTCTGAGAAATATGCCAAAGCAGCAACCAGTTACTTGTATTCCTTTTTTAAATGTGTTAACCTGTGAGGAGAAACAACACAAACAACAGCTAGTAATAAACACAAATCATAGCCAAATCACTGAAATTGGAAAAAAGTACTTCCATAATAGATGTTTTTTTTGTAACACTGGGAAATGGAACTGAGTTGTTTATTTATTATCATAATATTAAAAAGCTCTACGCTGTTTTAAATCACTCCAAAGTTATCTAGAGTGGTACAGAAATGAGTTAGGGTTTTAGGACTTTTTCGTTATCCTAAAGTTGATGGGTGTTTGAATTGGTTTTATGGTTAGTAGCCTAACAAACTTCCACCACAAAATATGTCAGTAAATACCCTACTTATGAATTGATTAACTTTATTTGTCTTACAGACGATGATTGCTATAAATTGGCTAAATGAAAACACTTATTGTCGTCATACCAACATGAGTCCGCCTAGTTACGTTGTTGAAGTAAAGTCATGCAACCAGGATGTAATTTGTATACTTCCGTTTGTACCTCTGTCAATTGCATTATGCTTCAAAAAGTGGTTGGGTTTATCCTGCTGAAAAAAGTGTGTAAGTATTTTACGTTTATTTGCCAGAGCTTATTTTCTGCAATACTCCAAAGTCCAATGGATTAACCATTTGCTTTTTGACAAGGAACCTGTTGATCAACTATCTTGTCGACCTACAAAAATACTTAATCTTTGAACCACTCTTTTGGTGGTGCGAATACAAAAACAAAAAAGCCCTTCTGTCGTTTCTCAGGGTGCTTCCAAGTTTGCAATTCCTCTAGAAGAGTTTTGTCAATACCGAATGATCATGGCATACTTTAAGATGCTGTATTTTCAGCTTGTTGTACTGTTTTAGGTAGGGTAAGTAAATCAATGAACGCGGCTTAAGGTCTGTTAGTTGGTTGTAAAAAGAAAGTTGGGTGCAGTAATCTAGAGCTCTTCATTAACGTTTAGTTATAACATGCATAATGATAATGACAATGATATGACATGCATAATACAGTGCCTCACAATTTATTATACTCTTTCCAGTGCAACAGTAGACTTTGGAGGCATATTATACATTTCAAACTTACATCTACTCATATGCTTAAGAACATCATCTGTTTTTCTAACCAAGATCAGTTTGCAAGTAGTACGTCATTGTGGTTTTTCATAGGATCCTGTGTCTAAATGGGAAATTACAGAAAACTCAAAATAATATGTAGCAAAGAGATTAAAATCAGATTTCAACTCAAAACTAGTAATGACTGTCAGGTTCTGTTAGACCAAAATAAACAATGAAACTGGTTTCAATTAGCTTATACGATGCTTAAATCCTTTGATGAAATCACACCAAAGGTTTAAGTAAGCAAAACACTCACATCCTGTTGCTTTAATTTGGGAATTACAACAATTGATACATTCTCAGACATGACTCATGTTTCTGGTAAATGTTACTTTATTAGGGGCATAATTCATGCATTATGATACAGTACTCTATTAAAAAGCCTCCAAGTATTCATCACGGAATGTCACACATGTAATATTCTGCATGTGTACAAGCATTACTAAGCAAGCTAGTTTTGATTTAATCATCAAACCTTAGCATGATATTGAATCAGTTACCTTAAAATAAAGTCAAAGAGGCTGTACATTGACTCAACACAAGATTTACAGCAAGAAAAAAACTGGAAAATGTCAGTAAAACCACATCAAACGTATCTGAAGTCCTGCGTGGACGTAGACATGTTGTGATTTGTTCTCCCACATTAAAGTTATTAAGGACAAAAGTTCACTATTGATTCCTGAAAATGAATGTTGACATATGCTGTATGTTTGGAAGGCAGTGACAGGCCCACATCTGTGAGTGCAAATAAGCAGTACCCCGTGCATGAACCCGTACATATCCTCAAAGCTCTCCTATTGGGAGTCTTTTTTTATAGGATGTTGTAGCTGATACTTTATGTAAGCAATGTAATACACATTTAAAAAAACAGATTGCATTGCATATTGTATTTTGGAACTGGTAACATGCTGTTAATATTGAAGACATACATCATAGATATCTTTCAGAATGTTTTCCATGATAAATTGCATTGGTAGCTCACATAAGATTTGGTTATCGGATTTGATAAAAAACAAGTCCTGCTTCACAATGGATACCGGTTCAATAGGGATGTACATTTTGCTCCAGTCCACTGTGTTCAATTAAAATGAAAATGGCAAATGATGATGTAAAAGCAGAGTAAAGTTTGTATTAGGGAGTTATAAAAAGTTATCTTACAGGGCTTTTCTTTTCACAAAACTGTGTCTCAGGGCTTCTTAACATTTATGAAACTATTAATGTTCCATACTCACTTAACGGGAAGAAACTCAGCTAACTGACGATACGAACCATTTTTACCGAAACAAAACACAAGTCTCACAAGAAGCGTCTAAAATCCTATCGCACTTAGCACCGAACTCACGGCTTAAATACCCTTATTTCTTATCGTATCTGCACAAACAAGATATCGATTAGCAAGCTGAGATTCCACAGATTCCAGAAATATTAGTATCATCACTGAGCGATCCAAACTCGCCACAGGGGAAGCGAAAACAGACATCACAACACGTAGCTTCACGGAGGAAGCTTCTTACCTTAGCTGTTGTTCTGATCAAAAGTTGTGTTCAATGGCATTAAAACGATAGAAACGCTGCTGAAGGTTAATCCAATGGTTAATCCAATGTGTCTGTGTCACTTTGAAATGATTACTGATAATCCATCTTCATATTTACTAGTTTGAACCTAGGTTTCAGTTTTCAATTATCAGAGCATAACATAGCTTTCGACTTGATGCGCGTAACTCTCACTCCTCAATGGTAATGTGTGTGTGTATATGGAACTTCACCTTTGATTCTATTGGCTCTAACGGTTCAAAAGAGGTGTCAATCACCAAAATCGACCAATGGGTTCCAGAGAAACGGCAAATCCAACCAAAGGTGTTTTTTTTGTTGCTAAACCTCTCTCAAATGGTCAAATGTCACTTGTTTTGCATCAATCTTGATACAGGGTACTTATTATATGTTATAGTTTGGATTCCTAAAGCTTTTTGTCTACTATCCCATCATTAAAGGGTGGTTTTCACTATAAGTAATGTTGGACGGACACTATAATTTAAATTTGTTTTACTATGTTCAATCTGAATTTACTTTAAAATTAAACAATTCTATATTGATTCTGACTTTTCTACATCCAACTCACAGGTTTATCATTACTTTGAGAAAAAATATTATTAATTTATCGCTTTTAGAAGTGAAGTTATGGTAATTTGTTCTGGGAATGTCATTTTCATTTCATTTCATTTCAAACCTTTATTTAACCAGATTGGTCCCATTGAGATCATAGATCTCTTTTTCAAGGGAGACCTGCAGGCCTGAAAAACAGGCTTGGGGCTTAAGAGGTTAACTGATTTGGGTATTGCAAACACACACAAAGACAAATGTAAGAGAAAGAGTTAACATTTATTTAGGTTTAATGTGCTTGGTATAAGCATTTTTTTTTCTCAAACATTTGAGAAACATTTTTCACTATTTTTTTCAATTCTTGGTGACTTCAACAGTCACATTAAAACAGTTACTAAATCAGCCTACTATCACCTAAAGAACATATCTAGGATTAAAAGACTAATGTCACAGCAGGATTTGGAAAAACGTGTCCATGCTTTTATCTTCAGTAGACTCGACTACTGCAATGGTGTCTTCACAGGTCTCACTAAAACATCTTTTAGAAAGCTGCAGCTGATTCAGAACGCCGCTGCTCGAGTCCTCACTAACACTAAGAAAGTGGATCACATCACTCCTGTTCTGAAGGCTTTACACTGGCTTCCTGTGTGTCAAAGAATAGATTACAAAATACTGCTGCTGGTTTATAAAGCACTGAATGGTTTAGGCCCAAAATACATTTCTGACCTCCTGCTAAATTATGAACCATCCAGATCTCTCAGGTCTTCAGGGACTGGTCAGCTTTCTGTCCCCAGAGTCAGAACTAAACATGGAAAAGCAGCGTTCAATTATTACGCTCCAAATATCTGGAACAAACTCCCAGAAACCTGCAGGTCCGCTGCAACTCTGACTACTTTTAAATCCAGGCTGAAGACTTTTCTTTTTGTCGCTGCTTTTAATTGAACTGTTAATATCTTAGACTGCACTGTAACTGTTAACCATGTAGTTTTTCTTGTAATGTTTAATTGATCTCACTGTAACTTTTATCCATGTATTTTTTCTTTTAATGTTTATTTTATTAGCTTTTCTTTTTAATGACTGATGTTAAATGCCATTTTCTTAATGTCTTTCATTTTTTGTAAAGCACTTTGAATTGCCTTGTGTTGTGCTACAATAGCATCTTATCGTGTCAGTCACGTTCTTGCGAAATACATGAAGTCTTTCTTTCAAAGACGGCGAAGTTGTGAAATAAGCATTCCTGGAGTCTGCCGATGCGCTTTTTGGGGACAGTAAAAATAACAGTAGCATTTCAACAGGTTTTTGATATAATAAAAACTCAAGTTAGATACCGTTATTAATCAGCTGTAAGTATACGTTTTAGTTTGTTTGAACTTATTCAT